AATAATTACTAAAAATAGATAAATTATATATAAAAATAGATAAATTATTTATAAAAATGGAAATACTATGTAATACATGCATTAATTTTCTATTTTTAGTATAAATTGTGCACATGACTTTTGGTCTAAATTTTATACACTGTCACTAATCCTTTTCTTATATATCTAATCCAAGAAATCATCTGTCTCTTTATCCTCTAATGACTTAGTTTATGTGCGAATAGGTTTACATATATTAAAATTAAATGTGTTATCAGATATATTTAATGGGTTTGCCATCTTTTCTAGTTTATCCAGACAAATAATATTGTTATAATTCTCAATAGAGCTGACATTGGTCGATGATTGTTTGATTTTCTTGATATCATCATTTATTTTAACAATAAGTTTGGTCTTTTCTTTATCTCTCTGCTTTAGTCTCATAAATTTAGCTTCATATTCTTCTAAAGCACACCTTAACTTTGCATTCTCAGCTTTGACCTTTACATTTTTATCTATAATTTGGATATATTTAGCCTTAACCTCAATATTCTTAGCCTCAAGCTTAATGATGTGTTGTTTCAATGAATCAAGTTCGGATGACATAATAATATTTTAATGCTCTATAATGCTATTATTCAAAATCAGAAAAAATATGTAGACCATTTTGGCTGATCGTGAACATTATTTACAGGTTTGCCAAGAAATTTTTTATTATTATATATGAAAAAATAAATACATAGTTTAGAACAAATGTTTAAGATAGCACCAGTTAGTACTCTAAAGTAATACATCCCTTTGGCTGTAATAAGACTCTAATTACCTTTTTCTTTCAAGATGATGATAAATTTTTAGTATGCTTGAAGTAATAGCCTGTATAAGATAATGTAAGTTTATTGCATATTCTACATAGAGATTTTAGCATATTATTTGCATCCGATTTTTAGTAAAGCAAACATTTTGTCAAGCAAATGCAAACTCAGCTACAAGTGCTCATATCTCTTTTGATATATGGACAGGTTATATGATTTATCTAAAGTATTTAGATTATATTCTTTCTTCATTTCCATTATAAAAATCTGATTTCAAATTATGAAAAAATCTGAATTGAACTGTGGTAAAAAAGTATATCATAAACGATTAATTATATATAATAGCATAAATTATATCATCTATTAACTTAAAAAAATAGTACTCAATATTTTAATTAGCTGATAGATTAATTCAAACAGAAAGCTATTCCAAAAGTTGATTCGTAAAGGCTATAAATATGTTGATAGACTTTCAGATTATTTAGAAGACATTGGAATTATATATATAAGTGAATTTGAACTGAATTCTTTAGCCGACTTCTACCAGGACTTCAGAAACTTATAAGATAGGTCACAGAAAAAATTTTTAAATTTGCATCACCAACACTAAAAATTTCACTATAGTCATAGTTTGAGAATGTGTCAAAATGACAATTTTTTGACCAATGTCAGGGGTCAAAATTACATAAAATATTTCATTTTTTGCTATATAAAGGTTTTAATTTGCGTCATTTTTTTAGGTTTTATATATCAAACATATATATCACGTGATATGCATATGATTATAAAAAATTACTGTATTTTGCAGTGTAACAAAAAATAAAAAAAATTCTTTGTCGCAATTTTACAAGTAGAGTTCCGGATGAGTCGAGTCAACTCACGAGTCAGATAAGCCGAGTCGAGTTTAAATCGAGTCAAGTTTATGTTTTTTGACTCAATGATTTGCGAGTCAAGTCAAATTCAAGTCGAGTTAAATATTTAACTCGACTTGATTTAAACTCGACTTGATTCGAG